CCGAGACCCCCGCCCTCCCGGTCTGGCTCGCGGTCCCGGCCCCTTCGGCGCGCAGACCGCCCCTTCCGGGCGCCCTTCCCGGCGCCCTTCCCGTCTCCCGGAGGCCAGAGTTTCGCGGGGCCTCACGTCTTCCCCGAAGTTGAGTCTGAAACCAGGACGGGTCTGTAACGGTCCCGAGCGCACAAGCCGGGCGGTTCCCGGGTGGCCTCCCGGTTACCCAGTGTTGACCTCCTCGGGGTTGCAGCCTTTCTTCCCGCTTTGGCGTTCGTGCGGCCCCGTGCCTTTATACAGGGTTACAGTCACCTCGGGGGAGGCCGGGGGCTGATCGGTTTCGCGCGTGGCGGTGCCGCGCGCGTTCTCCCGTGTGCGCGGAGCTTCCAGGCGCCCCGCCACGGGGAGGACTCTCCGCGGTGCCGCAGGTGTTTTAACTTCTGAGACTGTGTCTGTGGTTGTAGCCGCGGGAGCCAAAGCTCTTGGAGGGCCTGAGACCAAAAGTTTGAGAGCGGTTGGCCTTAGCAGCCTCCTTGAGTGGAAGTGTAGCGGTGGGGGCCGGAGAGGGCGGGCGCCGCGTCCAGTATCTGCCGGGGCCCGGACCAGCATTTTCCGCCGCACTGAGCCGGTCTTTTTCCTCTCTGTCCGGCATTTGGAGAAGCCTCAGCTTCTCTGTCTGCACTGCCTCCTCCCCTGGCTGAGTTTGTGTGCACGTGTTGGCAAGGAGAATGTCTTTTATAAACTCTGGTTCAGAATGAAGTTTAATCTTCAGAATTAAATTTGGGCTGAACAGAGTTTAATCATTTAATTGATGCTGAATTTCTTGTCAGTTGCTGTGCTTATCTGGCAGTGAGGTTACCTTTAATTAAACTTTTTATTTTGAGATAATTGTAGATTCACGTGTAATTATGAGAAATAATAGAATTCCCCTGTATCCTTTACCCAGTTTTCGTCAACATAACATACTGCAAAACTGTAGTAAAGACCACAACCAGGACATTGACACTTATTCCAGAACTTTCCTTCACCACAGGGAGCCCTCCCTTGTCCTTTAGTAGCCACACCCACTTCATTTCCCCTCCACCTCTTCCTTAACCCCTGACAACCACCAATCTGTTTTTATTCCTATGATTTTGTCATTTCAAGACTTATAGAATGAAATCTCCCTATATGTAACCTTTTGAGATTGGGTATCTTTCATTCAGCAACATTCTCTGGAGATTCATCCAGGTTGTTGCAAATGTCATTAGTTGGTTCCTTTTAATTGCTGAGTAGTATTACATGGTGTGGATATACCACACTTAGTTTGAAGGACATCCAAGCTGTTTCCACTGTTGGCCTATTATGAATAAAGCTTCTGTAAACATTCTTGTATGGTAACACGGAAGAACGAAGAAAATGTTAAGTCTTTAGTGCTGGGATTCACATGGCAGTGCCATGTTTAGTTTCATAAGAAACTGCTACATTTTCCCAGAGTTTCTGCACCATTTTCCATTCTCACGGCAATGTATGAGAGGTCGGTTTTCTCTTCATCCTCACCAGTACTTGGGGATCCTGTTTTTTTATTTAGGTATTTTTTATTTTAGGCATTCTGATGTGTATGTGATATATTGCGGTTTTAATTAGCACTTTTCTAATGGCCAACGATCTTAAACATCTTTTTATGTGCTTACTTGCTGTCTGCATATTCCCCTCAGTAAAATGTCTCTTCATTTCTTTTGCCCATTTTCTAATTAGATTTTTTTTTTACTGTTGATTTTAGAGGTTTGTGTGTGTACATTTGAGGGGAGAGGTAATTAGGTCCATTTATTTATTTATTTTTTAATGGAGGTGCAAGGGATTGAACCCAGGACCTTGTGTATGCTAAGCATGCACTCTACCACTGAGCTGCACCCTCATCTGCCCCAGAGTTTTAAAAATACATTTCTAAATACTAGTCCTTGATCATGTGGTTTACAAATGTTTTCTCTCAGCCTTTTTTAAAAAAATCCTCTTGAAGAGTCTTTTGCAGAGCAAACATTTTTAGTTTTGATAAAATCCATTTTATCAATTTTTCCTTCTATGGATTGTACTTTGGATGTCAAGAATACTTTGCCTAACCCAGAATACCAAAGATTTTCTCTTATTTTTTTCCTAAAAGTTTTATAGTTTGTTTTACACCTAAGCCAATGACCCATTCTTAGTTAATTTTGTATGAGGTGTGAGACTTAGGTCAAGGGTCATTTTTAGTCTGTGGATGCTCCAGCGTTTGTTGGAAAGTCTATCTGTACTCTATTGAATTGCTTTTGTACTTCGGTCAAAAATTAGCTGAGCATATTTGTGTGGATCGCTATCTGGGTTTTCTGTTAGCTTCCAGTAGCTATATAACAAGTTTTGAAATAGAGTGGACTGATTCTTCTCACTTTATTCTTATATTTCAAAAATATTTAGGCTATTCTGGTTTCTTTGCTTTTCATTAGAAATTTGAGTAGTCTTGTCTAGATCTACAAGAAATTTTGCTGGAATTTTGATAGGTATTACATTAAGTCTGTTTATTAAGTTAGGAAGAATTGATATCTCTACTGTGTAGAGTCTTCCAACTAATGGACACAGTATTTCTCACCATGTCTTTATATTTTCTTTGATTTCTTTCACCAGCATACTATGGTTTTCAGCACGTAAGTCCTGCATATATTTTGTTAGATTTACACCTGTTTTCTTTTTCTTAACAATTGTAAATGGTATTCTATTTTAATTTTATTGTCCACATATTCTTTGTTAACATATAGAAACACAGTTGAGTTTTGTTACGTTTATCCTGTGTACTTTGACCTTGCTGAATTCGTTTATTCTAGGATTTGGGATTCCTAGTATATTCCTTAGGTTTTTCTATGTAGAAAATTATGGGACAGTTTTGTTTCTTCCTTTCCAATCTGTACACCTTTTTTTTTCCTGATATATTGTGCTGGCTAGGACTTCTAGCATTGTTTGAGTAAGAGTGGTGGGAGCAGACATCCTTGCCTTGTTTGTGTTGTTGAGGGGAAAGAATACAGTCTGTCATCGAAGTAGTAGGTTATGTTTTTTGTTTTTGTTTTTGTTTTTGTTTTTGTTTTTGTTTGGTAGATGCTCTTTATCAGGTTCAAGAGGGATATTGGTCCGTGGGTTTTTTGTACTATCTTTATCTGGTTTGGTATCAGGGTAGTATTAGCTTCATAAAATAAATTTTTAAGTGTCCCCTCCCCTTCTGGTTTCTGGAAAAGACTGTGTAAAATTGGCATTAATTCTTCTTCAGATGTTTGATAGGATTCTTCTGTGAAACCGTCTGGGGCTGGAGATTTCTCTTTTGGGATTTTAAACTTACACATTTAAATTCCTTAATAGTTACCCAGCTGCTCATGTTATTTCATGTTGGGTGAGTTGTGATGGTGTGTAGTTTTGTGATCCATTCCTTCCAGGTTGTCAAATTTATGTGCACAGTGTTGTTCATAGTATTCTCTTATTATCATTTTGACATCTTCAGGGTCAGTAGTGATATTCCCTGTTTCATTCCTGATGTTGGTAATTTGCATCCTCTGCCTTTCTTTGTCACTCTTGCTGAAGTCTGGCAATTTCATTGATCTTTTCAAAGAACCATTTCTCTGTTTCATTGATTTTTCACTATTTTTTTTTACTTTCAATATAACTGATTACTGACCTTATCTTTATTTCATTTGTTTTGCTTGCTTTTGGTTTATTTTGCTCTTCTTTTTCTAAGTTCTTGAGGGGAGACCTTAGATCGTTGATTTGAGACTTTCCTTCCTTTCTGATGTGTGCACATGGTATGGATTTTCCTCTCAGCATGACTTTATAGCTGTGTCCCACAAATTTTGCTATGTTGTATTTTCACTTTCATTCTACCTTTATTTTTTAAAAAGTTCTATGTTAAATCTCACTTAACAGGTTTTCAAACTTTTCCACAGAAGAAAATGTTAAGACTCAGGGAGGGTCAGTGTATTGCTCAAGGAATCATAGCTAGTTATGGTGAGATCTGCTTTTGGTGATACTGTGTCTGCCATTATCTCCTGCATGTCACCTATTAGCAATTGCAATAAGTTTTATGATTCAGGAGATCTTGATTGTATAGTTATTTATTGCTCACTGTGATAGTGGATCCTGAGATAACGTTCACTACCTTTTCTTGTCTTCTGAGAAACACACTCATGATGTTCCACTTCTTCAGACTATCCTGACCAAAACTCTAATGGTGTCCAAATCTTTTCAATTCCTAACTCCTTGTGTCATTTCTTGTTTCAGCAGCAATACTTCTGAATTCTTCTGTTTCTTTTTGAGTTATTGTTCAGTGAGGATAATTTTTGTTATCTTAGACGCTTTCTTCATTTGTTTTACTTTATACCTTGAGTTGTGACTTTTAATTCTTCTTTTTCATGTCCTGGAGTTAATTATCGCCTCAGTGCCTTGTTGCTTCTCATCTGGAGAGACATCCCTTCACACTGGTCCAGGTCCTGTAATCATAAGATGATGAAAGACCAAGTTCCTGTCCTACCTCCTCTGAAGCTTTCCCAGAGCACTTAACGCTTGGCCATCAGTCATACTGCTTGTTTGCCACTTAGTCATGTGCGACCGTGCACTACCTCCTAATTTATGTTTTGTTTTGTTACTTAACTTTTTGTATCATTTGAATTTTAGTGAACCTTTCATTCTCACCCCTCCCCCCCCATTAAATGACCTGTCTTTAGGAAAAGCAGCCTGTAATATTCTTTGTATCCTCCATAGCCATGATTATAAATCTTTGCGGACAGGTGTTGATTATTTTTTATATGGAAACCATTTTCACCTTGAGTTATTTTATTCTTATGGAACGTTACACACATAAGTGGTAGATTCTTACAGGCAGCCAGGGGCTGTTAGTTAGCATTTATGTTCTGATGAAGCTCCGCCTTTCACCAACCAAGCCTTTTAGGTTTTCTGAGGCTGATTTTGATCCTAACATAGTTCCAGGCTGTAACTGCTTATATTGATTTTTATTTATTTATCTGACTTGGTGTGTGGGAAAGGAGGAAGAGGGTGTTCGAAATGTTTATGTTTTCCTGCAGAATAAGTTTTCTCTTTTCAAGAATGTTTGTTGGCCCTTCGTTTTTAACCATACTAAATCTATTTTTTTCTGCTTAAGATATTAAGTATTTCTCACAC